AGCAGGGAGCTGGATGGGTAGTAAATCAGCTGACCCTGAACCAGCACCCATTTGGGATGCCAAGAGTGCAGGCTATGGCTTAACCTGTTATGCCACGACACCAGCTCCCATCCCATGAACTTTTTGAAGTATTCTAATACTATTTCTAAGCCCTATAATAATTTTGCCAGGTAGATTATTGTTCACTTTCTCAGACAAGAAAACTGAAGCTAAGATGAGTTGGTTAAGTGACTCATGTTGAATCACACATCTGAAGTGGTACAGTTAGGATATGACCCTTGATTTGTTTCAGTCGTTTTTTTCTCCTTGTCTAATGGCTTGTTATAGCTGAAAAGATGAGATTTCCGTGCATAGCATCATCAGGAACAATATAAAGTATCATATGGGGTCTAGTTTTGTGGTGTGGCAGGTAAAGCCACTACTGGTGAGGCCAACATCCCACGTGAATGCCAGTTCATGTCACAGCTGGTCAATTTCTGATCTATCTCCCTGCTAATTGCCTGGGGAAAGCAGTGAAAGATGGCCTAAGGTTTCTTTTTTTTTTTAATATTTATTTTTATTACAAAGTCAGATATCCAGAGAGGAGAGACAGTGAGGAGACCTTCCGTCTGATGATTCACTCCTTAAGTGATCACATGGCCAGTGCCGTGCTGATCTGAAGCCAGGAGCCAGGAACCTCCTCTGGGTCTCCCACACTGGTGCAGGGTCCCAAGACCTTGGGCCATCCTCAACTGCCTTCTCAGGCCACAAGCAGGGAGCTGGATGGGAAGTGAAGCTGCCGGAATTAGAACCGGCACCCATATGGGATCCCGGTGCTTTCAGCAAGGACTGCACTAGGCCTTTGTTTTGTTTTTTAAAGATTTATTTACCTTTATTGGAAAGATAGGTTTACAGAGATAAGGCAACACAGAAAGATTTTCTGTGTGCTGGTTCACTTTCCAAGTGGCCGCAATGACTAGAGCTGAGCCAACTCGAAGCCAGGAGCCAAGTGCTTCTTCCAGGTCTCCCACATGGGATCCTCTTGGGTACAGGATCCCCAGGCTTTGGGCCATCTTCTACTGCTTTCCCAGGCCACAAACAGCGAGCTGGATGGAAAGCTGGAGTAGCCAGGACACAAACCGGTGCCCATATGGGATCCCTGTGTATGCAAGGTGAGAATTTAGTCAGTGGGCCATTGTGCTGGGCTAAGCCCGAATTTTTTGACCCTTGCCACCTACGCAGGAGTCCTGAATGAAGCACCTAACTTTGGCCTGGCCCAGTGCTGGCCACTGTGGCCCTCTGTGAATTGGACTAATGCTTGAACCCTCCCCTCCCTCCTTCCTTCTATCTGTTGCTCCCTCTGACTTATAACTTGCAAAATAAATAAATTCTTTTGGAAAAAAAGGGAATGAGCTGATTACAGGATATGATTGGAGCAGAAATTTGAGAGACTAAATTGGGCAAGTAAAGATAGCTTTTAGCAGGTGATAAAGGGCAGAGGTGAGAAATAGGGAGTCAGTACTGAGTCTTGAGTGGGAGAGTGGCATAAAAGCAGTGAGTGCAGGAGCAACAGAAGAGAGTGGCTGCCAGGCTGATGCATTACTCTGCACAGAAAGCAGCAAGGGTCCAGGCCAGAACAGGAGGACGTGGGGACTTCCAAGGGTGTGTGTGTGTGTGCGTGCAATTCTGTGTAATGTTTGCAGTAACAATGGAGAGACAGGCAAAGCTAGGAGCACATCCTACAAGAAAGCTTGTAGAAATCAGTGTGTGATTGAAGGGTTACGATAGCATGGTATCATGGCTGACCATCCGTATTTTAGACTCTGGATTCAGAGGAACGTCAAGAATCCTGGATATTAAAAAAGAGCCCAAAACAGGAAAAGTGCCACATTCTGCACTGTGGCCTCTGTCTCAAGGAACAGAGAGCAGAGCAGATATGTAGCACATAGCATTTGTAAGTAGTCCATAGTACTGTCACTGCTGGATTCTTAAAAAACAATTGCTATGCCAATGACTGCAAGCTAACAGCAGCCTTGTGTGTAAGTTTCTGGAGAAGGCGCCAACCCCAAATCCTTCTTGGAACTTATTTTTTTTTTTAAGATTTATTTATTTTTATTACAAAGTCAGATATACAGAGAGAAGGAGAGACAGAGAGGAAGATCTTCCGTCCGATGATTCACTCCCCAAGTGACTGCAATGGCTGGTACTGTGCCGATCTGAAGCCAGGAGCCAGGAACTTCTTTTGGGTATCCCACACGGGTGCAGGGTCCCAAGGCTTTGGGCCGTCCTCGACTGCTTTCCCAGGCCACAAGCAGGGAACTGGATGGAAAGTGGAGCTGCTGGGATTAGAACCAGAGCCCATATGGGATCCCGGCGTGTTCAAGGTGAGGACCCCAGCTGCTAGGCCATGCCGCCGGGGCCCCTTCTTGGAACTTCTTATGCCCTCTCTGTGCTGGGCACTCCAAGATCCATAATAGGACCAGGTGGTAACAAAGTAGAGAAGGCCCATCTGACTTATCTCCTCATAGATCTTAACTGCTGTATTACCCTGCAGCTCCGGTCCCTGGCCTTGGAAGAACAGCATCACCAGCCCCACCTCCCATACCTGCTGCTTCATGTCTGGCTTGTAATTACATAAGCTGTAATTCCGCCAGCCAGCCCATTTCCCCAGGACCACATTTCTGGACCCTTAGCAATTTACAGTCTTAAATTGCTAACATCTTCGTTTTTCTACCTGGATGAGGGGTCTTTCCAGTTAGGGTGCAGTCCACCACCTGGAGTCGAACCACTCCTGTTCCCAAAAGATAGAGAGCTTGCCGTTGTCTCAGAAGCTTGTTGAAAAACAGGTCGCTTATCTTATTCATGTCTAGCATCAGTGCCTCGTATGGAGCCTGGCACAGTAAATATGAATACATTAGTAATCATGGAGGACTTTAAAGAGTTGGTGAAAAAGGGAGACTAGAGGGTAAGTTTATTTTGATACCATTTTTAAAACTCTTGTGTGCAAGGGTATGTTCAAAAAGTTTTATGGCAAAATAAACTTATAATTCTATTTTTCATGAGCCTTTTCATGTACCGTCATAATGAGTCAATAATTCCTCATCATTTGTTATCTACTGACTTCTCACCTGTTTTTCTTTTTTGTCATCTTTCTATATATCACTCTCTTTATATTTTCTTCTACAATCTTTGAGTTTTCTGTCTTCTTGTCATCTGTCTTTTGATCCTTTCTCCTTCCTGTTTCTAGCATCTGCCTGACCTTTCTGCTGTGTCGGTTTCTCTTCCTCTCCCTTGTACTTTGATTCTCTCTGCCATCAATCAGTTCTCTATCATCCGGCGTGGCCCATGAGTGCTCTTCCCCGTATCATTCTTTCCTGTTTGCATAGGTAGCATTAACTCATGTGAAGTATGCCAGGGGACAATGTAAACCAGTAAGTACGGGAGTCGTGAGCAAGCCTCCAGCCCAGGATGACCCTGTAGCTGCCGTCACAGCCTTGGCCTCAGATCTGCTTCCCTTTATTCACCCATGACCTGCTGAGCAGTCTGTGCTCTTGCAGCCAGCACCATTGCATTCACCACAATGTTGTTTTCCCTCCCAGGGGCCCTAGTTCCCTGCCACTACTTCACCTGCAAGTTCAAGTGTCCTCTCTCATGCCCATCTTACCCTGTACACTCTCATTTAGTCCACTTTATTTCAATGAAAATGTTTGTTTTTATTTGAAAGGGAGAGAGAGACAAAGAGAGAGGCCGACCAACCTTCTATTCCCTGGCCACTACAGATGTTGGTCAGGGTGAAGTCAGCAGGTAGGAAATCCATCTGGACGTTCCACGTGGATGGTAGTGGTCCAAAAACCTGGTTCATTGTCCAGTGCTTCCTAGTGTGTGCATTCGCAGGAAACTGGCATCAGCAGTAAAACCAAGACTGAAACTCAAGTACTTTGATATGGATTGTAGGCATCTCAGCTGACATTTTTTTTTGAATGATTTGTTTATTTTTAATTGGAAAGTGAGAATTACAGAGAGAAGGAGAGACACAGAGAAAGAGCTTTCATCTGCTCATTCACTCCCCAAGTTACCACAACAGCCAAAGCAGAGTTGAGCCAAAGCCAGGAGCCAAGAGTCTCCTCCACATCTGCCACGTGGGTGCAGGTCCCAAGGCTTAGAGCTGTCCTTGTCTGCTTTGCCAGGCTACAAGCAGGGAGCTGGATGGGAAGTGGGACTGCCGGGATTAGAATCGGTGCCCATATGGGATACCAGTGTGTACAAGGAAAGGACATGAGCTACTAAGCTAATGTGCCAGCCCCCCAGCTGACATCTTAATTTACTGTGCCAAATGCCTGCCATTACCATGCTTTATTTGTATTTTCTCTCTTCCACCCTCTCTATTCCTCCATCTCTCTCACTAATTTCTAAACTCCCAAGAACAAAGGTTATTAGGGAACCTCAAAAAAGTTCACACAAGATGCGTGTTGTGAAAAAAAAAAAAAACTTGGCATGGATTTCAAAGGGTTTCTGCACCAAAATATATTTTATCCTTTAATTCTATTTTTTCCACAGAGTTTTGGAAGTGCTCTAGTATGTTTATTTCATCTTTTGTGTCCTCAAAACTACACGCAGGTGGAGCCCAATAATATATGACAGACGCTGATGGAAGGGATGAGTCAATATTGGAGATTTCACAGCCCAGTATTGACTCACTGTTCATTGAACTGCAACGCTCATGCATTTCACAAATATTTATTGAGTATGTAGTGTGCATCCAGAACTGTTGTGTGTGCTTAGGATTCTCCTGGGAATAACACAGCTTGTGAAGCTGACGTTCTGTGTCTGTGGGCATCGTCCCCAGGGTGAAAGAGATCTGAGTGCCTGGAGCTGAGAAGGGCCACTTAGATTCCCACACCAGCTCCTTGCAAGATGTGCTCCTTCACCAAAGGGAAAGAGCGGGTGGGGGCGGAAGCTGCCTGGGAAGTGATTTCAGTCCTGGTTCCCTAAGCCAACTTCCTGTGCTTTTCTTGCTTTAGGAGAAACGCCCCTGTCAGTAGGCCGCACTCATGGCATGTGGCCAAGCTGCTGGAGGGATGCCCTGAAGCAGCCAGCACCATGCACTTCCCTTCTGAAGCCTTCAGCTTGTCCTGGCATTCCGGCTGCAACACAAGGTGAGCCTAGAGCCCTCCTCTCCAGAACAGGCTGAAGGGTAGGCAAGGCGGCAGCCACTCTTCCACCTCTGTGGGACTCCCTGTGGGCTACTAGAGTGCCATGATAGAAAATGGAGTGGTAGTCAAGTACCTATGTTCTGATACTGGTGCCTTGCAAGGTCTCCTTTGACCAGGCGAGGTACCACACCATCCTGCTTTCCATCGAGTTCTACTAAGTGCTCTTTCTCAGCCTCTTTCCCTGTTGCTTGCTTATTATAGGAGAACCCCTGGGCTCAGTCTGGGCCCTCTTCTGCATCAATAGTGATTCACCACTGACCTCAACCTGTGTTCATCAGCTCCATCACAGACCCACAGCCTTTGAAATGGGGCCTCTCTAAATCAGAGAGTCTACCTGCCATGAAAATCACTCAATACAGGGACCTTGCTACTCACCTGTTGTCATTGAAACAGCTGCTCAAGAGGCAGCCAAGCTTATTGACACATTTCAGAGTCAGCCGAGATGCTGCCCTTGACTTTCTTTTCTCTTCCACAGCAAGAGCTTCTTCCATATAGGAAACCTCTGTTGAGGAGACTGATGGAAGCTAAAAGTTGAGTTTGTCCCAACTCAGTGACTTTATTTGGCATTGGAAGCCAACAACTCATGGCAGAGGCAGTTTTGTTCTGGAAGAATACACGGAAATACATTCTGAGCTTGGCTGCAGATTGAGTGGGCATGTGTTTTCTTTCAGCAATAAGGGGGGTGGGGTACATAGCAGGTTCCCTTGCCAACGAGAAGTTGATGGATTCCTAGCCTAAAGGACAGGTGAGCATAGTGGATGAGGGGCAAGGCAGGGAGCAAGAATTAAAGGAAGCTGACCTGAGGGTCTTGTGGACAGCTGTCATAGCTGAAATCTGGCTTTTAGGACTGTGGCCTTTCTCAGAGCTGCCTGCAACCCCTGGAACTCTAGTCAAAAGGAGTTACTGGCATGAGTTGGCTCAGTTTGACCTCATGTATGGGAAATGGTGCTTAAAATTCAAGATTACATCTGATCCTTGGTCTCCCTAGTATGGCTTTGCCATGGGGGATGACAGAGGCATAGATGGACAGGGTTCAGTACAGCATCGAGCTTGTACTGTAGTGAAGGGGACTCTGATGAGGGCAACAATAATGGTAATCAAGGCAGTAGCAACTAACACACATTGAACCTTTGCTAAATGCCTTAGCTGTGATGAAGGTTCTGCACTTACTGTAGATTACCTCTACACAGCAACCTTCTGACCTATTTATTATAATTATTTAAAAGATAGCCTAGCCAAAAAAAACCCCCAAAAAACAACAAACAAAAAACTAAAACATCAAACCCTGCCTCTTCTCAGTGAACTTGTCAGTTGAATTTGCCTGCTCTAAGTTCTCTGATTTCTCAGCTGAAAAGTGAGTTTGATCATATTTTCCCTTTGCTTAAAAAGAAGCATTATGGAGTACTTGAAACGTAGTTATTTAGGAAACAGTCAGGATTGCTATTATCAGGAAAGGACCAGGGCGCTTCCATTCCAGCCGTTTTTCTGCACCACTGATTAGCACCTGGCTTGAGAACCATCACCTGTTGGGAATCACTGCCCTTTTCAGGGCTTGTTTCATTTATACCACTGGCTTTCCTGGATCAGTAACACCAGCAGCACCTAGAAAAGGGCTAGAAGAACACATTCTCAGCATCCATTCAGACCCAAAACTTTAGCACGAATCCTGTGCCACCCTGTGTTTTTTTTTTGTTTTGTTTTCTTTTGTTTCATTTGTTTTTACAAGCCCTCCTGTGATTCTGACAAAAGGTACAAGTTTGAGAATTTCCACTGATTAACACGATGGTCTCAGTTACAACTGAGTCATCCCATTAGGACCCCCTTCCTCATGCTGATATTTCATGACTCTCTCTCCTGGCAGAGAGCCCCAGGTTGATTCACTGAGCCCAGTGATGAAGCAACTTCAGATGCACTCTGAGTACATTGCCCATGGAGTTCTCCCTCAAGTTTAATCTGGGTTGTTTTTCTTTCCTTCTTCCACATGTCATCCCATTTCCCATCTACCCTTGCCTGTGTGATGTCGCAGGATCCTCCCTCTTCCCTGTTTCCCTGTCTTCTCTTTTGTGTTCTCTCTCTCTCTTTCTCTCTCTCTCGTGTTTGTGGTGTAGGGATTCTGAGTTGTCTTTCCTTCTCCCATAGTGGGCTGAACAAGGCAGGAGAGGGATCTGCTGATTTCATCAACTGACCTGTGTGCCCCGTGTCTTGCAGTGACGTGTGTGTACAGTGGTGTCCACTCTCCCGGCACTGCAGCACTGAGAAAAGCAGCTCCATTGGCAGCATGGAGAGCCTAGAGCAGCCAGGCCAAGCCGCCTATGAGGGCCACCTCTTGCCCGTTGACCAGAACATGTATCCAAACCAGCGTGACTCCGCCTATAGCTCCTTCTCAGCTAGCTCCAATGCCTCTGACTGTGCTCTTTCCCTGAGGCCAGAGGAGCAAGCTTCCACAGACTGCATTGTGCAAGGTCCAGGGCCAACCAAGACCCCCAGTGGCCAACCAAATGTGGCTGAGACCTCAGGAGGTAGCCAGCACACCAACAGGGACTCCCTGACCCCTAACTCCCAGACATCATCCCGTCCCCAAGAAGGCCATCACTCAGCACCTGCCAAGGCAGTCAGGGGACCACCCCAACCCCCAGTGAGGCGGGACAGCCTTCAGGCTTCAAGAACCCAGCTCCTCAATGGAGAGCAATGCCTGACTTCAGAGCCTGTGGATTCCTTGCCACAAAAGGAGAAACCAAGCTTGGACACAGTGTTATCCCCGAGGAGCCCTAACAGGTTCTGCTGCCTCAGTGAAAAAGACCAAATGATAAGTGAGGACCATCCAAATTATGAGCTTAGCCAGTCACCTGAATGTAGCCAGCAGGATTCCAGGCATCTGCTGATGGAGGCTTCTGCCAAAGCAGCCGGATCCCTGAAGGCCTGTGATAAAGCTCCCAACAGAGATTCCAACCCACTCAGTGAACCTGCCTCAGAACTCTCTAAGGCTCCTTCTTTTGTCAGCCTACCACACCTCATTGGCCCCACAGGACATCGTCATAGTGCCCCTGAACACCTGTTGGCATCTCACCTGCAGCAGGTGCATCTGGACCCCAGGGGCAGCAAGGGGATGGAGCTCCCAGCTGGGCAAGATGGGCACCAGTGGACTCTCTCTCCTTTGCATAACAGCTACAAAGGGAAGAAAAGTTCATGTCCCTCTATAGGAGGAATCCAGGACAAGCTCACCAAAGAAAGAAACACCAGGCCAGTAGATGATCGGCTTTTGGGGTCAGGGCATCAGAGTCAAAGCAGTTCCTCTCTTAGAGAGGCTGGCGGACACCTCCCAGAGCGGAGTTTCCTGGACCCAAACACAGCAAGCAGGGCAGGCAGTGAACTGCCAAGCCAGCAGCCCTCTATCTCTGCCTCCCACATTCAACAAACCAGGGACTGTTCTTCAACCACTAAAATAGGCCACAGCACAGAAGTGACAGAAGACGGGGATGGTGAGCCCAAGGAATGTGGCCGGATGGATGGTAAGCGAAGTGGGGGGACCCGGGGCCGCTCCATCCAAAACCGACGGAAGAGCGAGCGCTTTGCTACCAATCTGCGCAACGAAATTCAGAGGAGGAAGGCACAGCTCCAGAAAAGCAAAGGCCCCTTGTCACAACTGTGTGACACTAAGGAGCCAGTGGAAGAGACCCAGGAACCCCCAGAAAGTCCTCCGCTCCCTGCCTCCAACTCATCACTTCTGTCTTCATATAGAAACAACCCTAGTCCCAAAGACAAGCTCTTCAACAAAAGTATGATGCTCAGGGCTAGATCTTCAGAGTGCCTCAGCCAAGCTCCAGAGAGCCATGAACCTAGGACAGGCTTGGAGGGCCGAATAAGCCCTGGGCAGAGGGCTGGCCAGTCTGCTTTGGGTCTAAACAACTGGTGGAAAGCATCTGATCCATCCTCCTCAGACTCTGAGAAACCAAGTCTTTACCATGGAGTCCGTGGAGGTCACTGGAGATGGTCTCCAGAACATAATCGGCAGGCACACATAGCTCCAGCCATGGAAGGCCAATCCAGCCCACGTGACAACCAAGAATTTCAGGCGTCTGCTGCCCAAGCTGGAGAGGAAGCCATTCTTTTACCTTTTGCAGACAGAAGAAAGTTCTTTGAGGAGAGTAGCAAGTCCTTATCTACATCTCATTTGCCAGGTTTAACCACTCACAGCAACAAGACTTTTACCCAGAGACCAAAACCTATAGACCCAAACTTCCAATCCATGAGCTCCAGCTATCGGGAGTTGAGGCGTCATCCAGTGGACCAATCGTATCATTCCGCAGACCAACCATATCATACCACAGACCAATCTTACCACTCCATGTCACCACTTCAGTCAGAAACGCCTCCTTACACAGAATGTTATGCAAACAAAGGTCTAGAAAATTCCATGTGCTGTAAGCCACTGCACTGTAGTGATTTTGATTACCGCAGGACCTGCTCTTACTCCTGCAGTGTTCAGGGAGCTGTTGTTCATGACCCCTGTATCTATTGCTCTGGGGAAATCTGCCCTGCTTTGGTCAAGAGAAATATGATGCCAAATTGCTACAACTGCCGGTGCCACCATCACCAGTGTGTCCGGTGTTCGGCCTGTTGTCATAGTCCTCAGCACAGCGCCCTTGAAGAGAGCAGCTTGGTGCCTGGCAACACTTGGAAACCCAGGAAGACAACAGTGCAGGTAAGGGCTTGGTGCTTGGGTGGCTCAGCTTCCTTATTCTCTTTGCGAAGAAGAGGCAAGACATCAGAGTTATCATGTCTGAGAACTGTATGCTTCTGGTTCCACCAGATGGCAGGCAGCTTAGCAACCTGGGGCAAGACGGTCAGCTGCCAAAATTATAGGAACCTCACCTTTAGAGAGAGAGAAAAGTAACTTCAGCTGCATCAAATGAACAGAACTGGAATTTATATGCTGTCAAATTAGTATTTGAGTGTCTGTAAACAAGGCATTCAGCCACCAAAATTTGAAGCTATTTGATTTTTTTTAAAAGGGAGAAAATTTTACCTCATAAAACAGTCAGTACTAAGAAAAAATATTATTACCTTATCTCTAAAGTGGAGGAAAATTAGGCTGCCTCAAGAATCACTTTTGAGAATCAAATGAGATTGTGTATAGAGCATGCGAGGCCCAGTTCAAATAGCACTTATGGCCTTCCATTTCCTGCTTAAAAATTATTTGTAGCTGCAGAATTCGCAACTGTGTCCCAGACTTTAAGATATTTGACTTGTCTGGACGAATTCTTCCTTCTCTCTCTAACTTATCTCTGTTGGAGACCCAGAACTAAATTGATGGCTGCACTGCCCTGGTTATGGCCTTTAACCTGAGCTACCACCTGCTATGTCCTTGCCTGCTCATGGTCAGATGATTTCTGCGTTTTAGTTAATACACTCAAACCAGCAGCTGGTTCCCATGTCAAAATGTTACTCAATAGGCAGACACTTCTGAAGTGGCTCAGTGTGTGAAACTAGGCTATATATAATTTTTTTTTTTTTTGAGAAAAGGAATGAGAAGTGAAAGGAGCCTTACACAAAAGAGTACATACTCTACTCAGATTCTTTTATGTGAAGTTCTAAAACAGGTGTTCTATGGGAAGAAACGTTAAGAATAGTGCTTTTCAAAGGGAGGTGGCCTGGAGATGGACTGGAAAGGGGGCACGGGGGCATGTTCTTTGTCTTGATGAGGATTTGAGTCACACGGTTATATTCATCAAAATTCAATACATGCACACTTACTATCTGTGCTTTTCCCTTTAACACAAGGTTATTTCAGAAAGTTTGTAAAGGATGTAATTGAAAAATAACTTTATGTTGGTGCCAAACAATTTTTGGAACCCATACATGTTCGTTTTTTTTCCCCAAAATATGCCTTTCTCTGCAGATTTTTGGAGTGCTTTGATATGTATGCTATTGGAGACATGTGTGGAGTGAATCAGTGGAGGGAAGATCTCCCTGCTTGCTTCTGTCACTCTTAGCCTTTAAAGCAAATAAAAGTAGAAAAACAAATTTTAAAACTTTAAGTAATAATAAAAGAGTGTTTCTACAAGATGACAAAGGGTACCTACAGAAAATCTTACAGCTAACATTCAACTTCATAGTGAAAGATTAAAAGCAAAACTTAGTGGTTTAGCACAGCAGGTGAAGTGCTACTTGGGATGCATGCATCCTGTATTAGAAAGTCAGTTTGATTCCTGGCATCTTGTTAATGCATACTGAAATGCATCCATCAGATAATGGGTCAAGTGCTTGCGTCCCTGTTACCAAGTGAGGGACCTGAATGGGGTTCTTGACTCCTGGCTTTGGACTGGTCCAACCCTGGCTATTGCAGAAATTTGAGAAATGAGACAGTAGACACAAGATTTTCTCCTTGTCTTTCTTTCTCCCCCACTGTGCCTCTGTCACTCTTTCTGTCTATGGGTGTGTGTTGTTCTGCTTTTCAAGTTTAATTTCTTTTGCTAAATTCGAAAAAGTATTTAATGATCAAAGGACACAACCAATGTAAATTTTCTTGACATATAGTACATCTCTATATATGCATGCATACATAGTCACAATAAAAATAGAAATTGATATAGTGTAAAAGAAATTGGTTGACACTTTAGAATTACATTTTTCTTTTTAGAATAAATTTATTTCTATTAATTTTTATTAATCTAAAGAGAACAGGTTTTATGCATTCTGTAAATATAGTTTCCAGAAGACGCTTCTCTCACTCCCTCTTTTCCCCAGTATCTATCCCTCCCCTCTGTCTTTTCATCATGTTTTGCAAAAACGTTGTTTTAATCTGTTCTATCCTCACAGGCTTAATGCAACACTAATCATAATATTACAAGTACCTATTTTTTTTTTAATTTAAAGAAAGAACAAACTAGCAAATATCCACTCTGGCCAGGCTAAAATCAAGAGCCAAGAACTCAGTCCAGGCCTTCTGTGTAGAAGAGACCCAGGCACTTGAAGAGCCCTCACCTTCTGTCCCACAGAGAGTGCAATAAAAAAGAAGCTAGACTCTGAAACACAGCTGGGTCTTAAACGCGGAAACTGCAATAGGAGATGCGGACACCCCATGTGCCATCTTAACCACAGCAATAAAATGCCCTCAACATTTTATCAAGAATGGATGTTACATGGTTTTTTTTTTATCCTTTTTTTGATATCTATTGAGAAGATCATATACTTTTGCTCTTTAGTCTATTGATTGGAGTGTTGAAATAACAGCCTAGCATTGCCAGGATAAATACCACTTGATCATGATGCACTGTCTTTTATATATCACTAGATTGCATTTGCTAATGTTTTGTTAAGGATATTGCATCTCAATAGGATTTTAGCAGGTAGCTTTCTGGTAATGTCTTTGTCTAATTTTTATTGCTGACTCTAAAGAATGAGTTAGGAGGTGTTCCCATCTCTTCTATTTCCAGGAAATGTTTGTACATAATTGTTATTATTTCTTCCTTAAATGTATGGTAGAATTCATCACTGAAACCGATTGGGCCTGGAATTTCCTTTGTGTGAAGTGTAATTTTATTTTTGTTAAAAGATATAAGATCATTTAGTTTATCTATTTCTTCTTGAGTGAGCTTTGGTAGTTTGTCTTTTAAGAATTTATCTGCTTAATTTAAGTTTTCCAATTTGTGGGGATGAAGTTGTTTGCAGTTTACTTTGAAATGGATCAAGAATTGAAGAAAGACTAGTAGGTGGATAAAGATGCAAATATATTTGTGGTGGGGCAAAGATAACAAAATTTTAATTGTGGAAGCTCAGTGGTGGGTTTATTGGTGCTTACTGTAAATTTACAGTCTTGAGGTTTGAAAATATTCAAAATATGTATAATATTGAAAAGGAGTAGATAATAAATAATAATGACTTAAGGCTGGAATCAGATTGTCCGGTTCAAGTCCCTGTCAGCTCATTTTACCACTTAAATTTTCCCATATTATGAAAATGAGGGCAACAACAGCACCTGCTTCTTCAGTTGATTGTGAGGATTAAGTGATGTAGTAGACATGAGATGTTTAGAACAGTAACTGCCAGATAGTAGTCATCTTAGAAGTGACTTATTATGTCTTAAACTAAATGGAGATTTTGGCTTAGCTTTAGAAACATTGGCTGAAAGAAGGGCCTGCAGTAGACAACAGAGAAGGAAGGCCAAGGCTGAGGGACAAGTGAGCAGTTGATAGCTGCTGTGGCATCAGCCTAGGGTGGAAGCTCCATAAGGGAGAGGAAACAACTTGTAGGTTACAGAAATTGGCAGCAGCAGTGCAGGTGAACACCTGTGCTGTGTCATGCCACTCCTTGCATCCTTGGATGGTGAGATGCATTGGGTTCCCAATGTCAGTTGTACAAGCTAAGTAGGTCTGCTTAGAGGAGGTTTTCACACAAATAGTTGGTTAGCTAGAAGCCACTGCATGCCCATATCTACCCTTGCTGCCTGGGCTTTCCATCCAGTCCCCAACCAGACATGCAGCGGATTTGCAGTTCTGGTTAAGATACCCTGCTCTGAGGACTAAGCAGTGGCAGTTGTGGCCATCTGGAATAGGGAGATGCTGTTGCTTATGCCACTGAGGAAGGTTTAGTGGCATAAGAACTTAAACCAGCACACACATTCACATCTTGCACACTTCAGGCTGGTTAGTTTTGCATATATTGTCTGATTAGCTCATTTAGTTGAAATAATCAGTTGAGTATGTTAAAATATGCATTGCATATGTTAAAATAGGATTCCATTCCACAGATGAGTAAGGCAAGGTCCAGAGAGGGCACACACCTAGTTAGTGAGGGAGCCAGGGTTTCCACAACAGAACAGTAATATCTGCACGTCTACTGGGTGCTAGGTAGTTAGTATTGTAGGTGTTGTACATAAGAGCACTTCAAAAACTTCACAGAAAGAAAAATCTACTTGAAAAATAAATTCATTTTCATACTGAGAAAAATTCAAATCTGTGCATCCTATTTTTTTCATAATATACATTTGGCATGAACATTTCGGAGACCCTTGCTTATACATGGATTTCGTTTTTTTGTGCAAAAACAAATATGAACTTTTCAATTTGATCTTCTGTGAGGATTTTAAAGTATGCTTGCTGTGCATTAACTCCCTGAGTCCTCAAGCAATGAAGAAACACGAGTAGGTACTCTTAGGATTAAGATCACACTGTTATGTAGCTGAGGAAAGTGAAACAGGAGAAATTGAGTAGCTTGCCTGAGGCCACACTGTGTGGGGTTTGAAGCCCTGCTGAGTGGCTGATGGAAAACCTCTTGCTCTCCCAGGGTGGCAGGATGCCTCCCAATAGCATCTCTTCCTCCAGGGCAGCCAGTTCCACCAAGATCCCTATCTGCAGCCAGCAGTGGGGATAACCACTTCTCTGGTTCAAAGGGTACAATTACCAGGAACCAATCATTTGAATGGCTCATGAACAAGAAGGATCTGATACTGGGGGACTTTGCAATGCTATTGGGAGTTGGTTCCAGAGTTTATTTGGCTTGGCTACTTCTGTTTACAGGGCACTTCAACAGGGCTAGACAGGGCACGGACAGGAAATCCTGGCTCCCACTGTGGCTGAACGTGTAACTTGGATCTTTGCCAGCAAGGACATCTCGCAGAGGTGTCAGGATAGAGTCAGGGCAAGGAATTAGAGGTGCTCCTATGTGCCAGATGTGGTCAGGAACTGTTGTGGTCCTGAGCAAGCTGGAGCCAGGATATACACCTCACCTTTTCTGTGGCTCAGATCCACAACCTCTCATGTGCCAAGCACAGTGCTGAGTATTCTCTTTGAATGTCTCCTTTGATTCTTAGGACTGGTAACCCTGCCAGGCTAGATATGTATTTGCCAGGAAGAAAACGGATGTTCAAGGAGGTGATGTGGCTTGTGTCAAATAACAGAGCTAGTGTTTTAGCCAGTGCACTTGATACCAAATACACAGGTGCTTCCCCAGCTGGCTTGCTCCCACAAGGAAGGACAACGGGGACAAAAATAATACAAATCTGAACAAATAAAATAATAATAGGACTGGAAAGAGGGACTTCGGAACCTATCAGATTCTCCATGTCTCTTTAGGTAGAGGGTATTGTATGCAAAATCAAGAACCAAAAAGATAAATTTGCTAGAATGGTAGCTTAGCCTGTTTTCCATTACTATAACAAAATACCTACACTGGGTGCTGTATTAAATAAGAAGTTTTAGAAGCTCCAGAATATGGTGCCAACATCTGCTCTGCCCAGCTCTGACAGAGCATCAAAACATGGCAAGGAAGCCAAAAAGTAAATGATCACAGACAGGACATTACTTTGTCACAATATTCTCTGGAAAACAAAGCTATGACCTTACAAGGACTACATTTAATTCTTCCATGGACAGTCCTGCCAACCTCCCACTTCTTACACTGCCACACCAAGGACACACTCCGATTACATTCAACCCACAGCAAATAAAAAGGTGGGGCATTTTCACAAAGGGCACATGTGGCTCAGCCTAGAAAGAAAGAGAGTTTCTTGGGCATAGCCCTTAAGGAAAGAAATGCCCAGGGTGGAGGGTCCACTCTTGTAATATGTGGACCATGGTGCCAAGTTCTCATGTTCCGTAGAGGTGAGCCCATCTCAGACCTTGCCAGCAGGTGTGAGTGAACAAGGAGTCCTTGCAGTGCAGAGGGTGTACTGGCATGCCTGCTGTGCCCTCCGCCCACCCTGGGAGAGCATTGCTGCAGAAGGAGCTTCCATTTCCAAACCTCCCCTCCTGCAATGGCCAGGGTTTTGAAGAAGATGCTGTCTCTGTTGGAAAATACTGGAAGAATGAATAGGTTTGTGTGGCCAGACAAAAAGATCTCTGTCCCTTGACCCAGGTAGGAGCCAGAGCAAACAGCAAACGTGCTAAACTGGTTTTGATCGTGGTTTAGGAGGGGAGTGGACAAAGAGGAAACAGCAATGCGTCTTGCACACAGTGGCCGGGTCGCTGATTGCTGTCTGGGTCTGGATGCCTGCAGCAGGTCAGCAGGTCTCCTCCTGACAGAAAGGCAGCTTAGCAGGTGCGCATTTCTCTACCTGCATGCCAGAGGAGGAGGAGGCTCCTGGGGACCTGGCTGAGAACAGGCTCTGACTCTGGTGTTTTCAAAGCCATGTAGACACCTGGATACTCAGAGCTCCCTAACTTATCAGAATTTTGCTTTGCAGGAATTTCCTGGGGACAAATGGAACCCAGTGACAGGAAACAGGAAGACCAGCCAGTCCGGGAGGTAAGTGACTGCTCAAGGAGTTGAGATGAGTTGATAGCCCTGGTGCGTTCATAGAAATTCCGGGGGTGAGCATTTGACCTAGTGATTAAAATGCCAATTGGGCGACCTATGTCTCGTGGCAGTGTCTGGGTCTGAGTCCCAGCTCTGCTCCTTATTCTAACTTCCTTCCAGGGTAGACACTGGGAGGCAGCAGGCAGTGGGTCAAGGGGTTGGGTCTCTGCCATCCACAAGAGACACCTGGACTGAGTTTGTCCGCTCCTGGCTTCAGCATGGCCCAGATCAGGCTGTTGTGGTCGTTTGGGAAATGAATCAGCAAATGGGAGTTTCTTTCTCTCTTGCTGTCTCTAAGAATAAATAACAATTAAAACCAAAAATAGCTAAGATCTTTCATTCATTTCATTTCCTTCAAGGGAACAAGCCTGGTATCTATACCCAGGGCTTGGTGACGTGAATGTAGTCCTCCAGTCCATTTCCCAAATAGCTGGACTCATCCAGGGCATTTTGGAAAATACAGTCATCAGGCAGTGTTGTGGGACATTGTACACATGCAACTTGGAGACCTGAAACAGCTCTGATTTTGTGCAATAGTATTTGGGACCATGCTATCCTAGATCAAAAATAGAAACAGAAAGTTTGCCTTCTTGGCTATGACCACTGGTCAGTTAGAGCAGGCTGAGCAGGTAGGAGTTTTCAGCCACTGCTCTACCTTTGCCCCAGACTTGTTGGAGGTGCCTGTTTCTCAGGCTTTGCTACCTTTCTTTGACTAGGGTTGTTGGGAACTTGAAGGCTGCTCATTAAGTCCAGGCAGGGACATTTTTACAAATTTCCCCCTGAGACTTGGGCTAGTAGGCATAGCCCTTAAGGAATATCTTCACAGGGTTGAGCAACTACTCCTAGAATATGGAGACTGTGACAAGCAGTACCCCATTCTCCAGAAGTGAGGTATCCCAGGTGACTGCCTTAGGTGACTCAATTGGAGCAAATAGTTAACTTGGCCTGGATTGTTGTCTGGTGGGAACCTCTTTTGTGTCATTCATTGATATACTGTTTCAGCCAGTTCCTTCTGCCCAAATAGTGCAAGAAGTCCTAAACTATGTTGATTCTTAACTCAAACTCTAGAAATAAAAGTGAAGGCAGAAAGGAAAGCTCCAAGTTATGCCTCTGTTGCCCAAGGTAGGGGCACCAAGGAAAAGGACCAGAATCCAAGGATCCTGGCCCCTGAAGAAGCTGGAGTTCTCTCTGCTCTCTACCGTATCTCCTGTGATTTGATGGAATAATAAGAAAGAATCTTAGCTTTCCTTCTACTTCTAAGTCTGGAAAATCTATCAATTTTCTGGTTGACAATGGGAAAGGAGAGGAAGCCCATATTTATTGATCCCCTTCTAAGTGTCATTCACTAGGTTGAATTTTGACACAATCTTATTGATTTTGATTTTACTACTCATTGTTGCTGAGGTACAGAGAATTTATATGGCTTAACTGAGGTCATATAGCATGTAAGTGATGGAGTCAGAATTTGGACCTAGACTTGTCTGGTCCCAATGCCCCAGTTATGCCTGCCTCTACTGGAATTCTCAAGGACAACTTCAAATGAAATCCTTAGCATCATGCTTAAGAGTATAAATCCTGCATGAGGATTCCATGAAATTACATGGCTAGTCTTGATCTCCCAGCTCCAGATTGGCTTGCATCATGTTCTTGGAGAAATCATTTCAGTCTAGAAGGCCTTCCAAGTTTCTTATATTAGACTGAGGCCCTTGAGAGGGGAGACCATGCCTCGGTCCCAGCCTTATTCCCTGTGCCTGGCTTCATGCCTGACGCAGAGAAGTTGCTGGAGAAGTAGTTGCCATTTTCTTGCCAAATGAAGAAAGAAAACCTCCCCTACCATTACATGGATGAATTGACACAAAGACAATAGTGCTAAGTAGCACTGGTCCGTTCTGGGTGCCAGCTGCAGCACTTTGCAAGTATTGATCATTATGACCTTATAGAGTTGGTACTATTAGTGTCTGTATTTGACAGAAGAAACTAAGGTGCACAGAGATCCATTTATTTGCATAAAGCCTCATAGCTGGTGACAAACTTAGACCCAGGCAGTATAGCTTTAAAGATATTACTCCATCCTACAGGGTTTTTCCAAAATGGTTTACTGATTAGTTAGTAAAGAGGGAGGATTTATTGAAAACCTGGTGACGAGTAGGCAGAGATTCCAAACAAAAAAGTTTTGCACAAAAATAAATTTGTTTTTCAATTCCATTTTCTGTGAACTGTTTGACTCATATATGTACTACCTTTGCTAGGCGAGGTGGGGATACAATTGAAAGAGCAGCAGGAAGCACAGTGCCTGGCCAACAGCTTGAGCAAAGCAGACTAACCCACACAAAGTTAAATAGCAGTAATAATAAAGTACCGCCTAGAGTACAACCAATGTGTCGTGAGCTGAGTTATGCATATCATGCTATCCTTCATTTTCCCAACAACTCTGTCAGGTGTTATTAGGGCAGAGATTCTCAAATATGAGTATAGAACAGAAACCCATGAAGGGTTGTTGGAACGCAGATGGACAGCCGGGCCCTCCCCCAGAGAGTGTGACTCAGGAGGTATGAAGAAGGATTCAGAGTGGCCATTTCAAAGAACCTCCTAGGTGATGCTACAGGGGCTGAGGCTGAGATTACATTTTGAGAAACCACTAAGTCAGATAGTGTGTGAGGTTCAGAGAGGCCAAGCGACAAACTCCACGTCTTTCTGAGGTTAAGCCCACATTTTGCTTGCTTGTACAAACTGCCAAATGATGGAATCTTATCACATATAGGAATGAACAAACAAGTGCCCATACTATGACTGTACCCCACTTTTAAGTCCCCTGAAGATGGGAAGCCACAGGAAGAAAGGCCCAGGAAAAGAATGTTTAAACAAGTATTCTACAGGAAAATAACCCACGGGGGTTAAGTTCTGGCCATAAAGTCAGAACTCCCTGAGTTCAGATCCATGTTTCTTCCACGCACTAGCTGTGTGGTCATGACAAAGCCATGCCTCTCCCTTCCCTTACTTTCCTTCATCCCCCTCCTTCCCTATCTCTGCTTCCCTCTATTTTACCCAAAAATAAGGTAAGAAAACTTAACCGCAAATGGTTTTTCTGAGGGGTAAGACAGTCAATATTCATATACATGGAATTCAATAGGGAAGAGGGTACGCTTTCTGGGAGCTGTACCTATGCAATGCATAAAAGCCACCCTCTGTGTTAATCCAAAAGTTTTCTTGCAATAAATCAAGCCTATCTTTTATTCCATTTTTCTCATGAACTTGTTCAAGTGCCCTCATACATACAGCACTGTTGAGGACAGGGCTCGATGCGCGAAGCCCTCAGCACGTGTTAGTTGTGAACCAGAGGAGGAGACAGAGGAAGAACACCAAGCGGGAGTAACAGTAAAGGAGAAAAAGGCAGAGTGAGCATTGGGCCAGTGCAGAGAGGCCTTGAGAACTGGAGCCCAGAACAGGCGGGCAATGGAAGGCTACTGATGCTTAGCTAGGGGGCATGATGATTGTGGCACTCTAGACATTGTGGCAGCATTTGAAGCCTGGATGGGTTTACAAGAGGCCAAACGGGGGCCAGTGATCCAGGCATGAAAGAGTGTAGCCCTGGTTGGGAAAGTACACTGGAAGTGAAGCAGAAGAGATAGATAAATGTGTTCGATATTTAGGTGGTGGTGGGAAGCTTGTTTATTGTGAGAGCAATATTACAGGAAATTAAAAACAGGAGAAAAGGTCGCCTTAGTCCTGGTGCCTTAACGCCCTGATTGCTTTTATTTCCCTGCCAGCTTTATCTATAGGTGTAGATTGTTTGGGGCATGGTTGTAATAACTTTGTAGATGTGCCTTTGTGTGTCCTGCTTCTTTTCTCCCCACTAAACATTAGTTAATAAGTGATTTTTCATGTTGTGATGGAGGCTTCCTCAAAGGCTATAATTTTTAATGGCTGTATAATATTTCACCAGCTTAATGTGCTCTAATTTGCTTAATCACTCCCAAATCGTTGGATAATTAGGTTGTTTCCAATTTCTTGCTATTACAAACTAATGCTGCAGAAACATTTTGAGAAGCTATAGCTTTTTCTCATTTTGAATTATCTGATTAAAAACAATTATCTGGAGTTGGGATTACTGGTTCAAAGAATATTAAGATTCTTATGACTCTTCATAGATTTCACCAAACTGCTTTCCCCAGGAGGTATTTCCAACTGCCATTTGCATTAAAGGGGGAGAGCCAGTTTTCTGATTTTGAAATTGTTGAAAACTTTCTCTAATGCAGTGTGTATAAACTATGCCTATTATCATTTTAATTTGCTTGCTTTGATGATTTGCATTTGAACATTTTTCATGTGGTTCTTGAATATTTTTACTGTGTCTTTTTAAAAAGAGTCATTCAAGCATAAAATACATTTTTTTTAGAGAAGAATCATTGAATCGTTTATTTGTTTATTTGAAGGGCAGAATGGGAAAGAGGGAGCGGACAGAGAGAAAGACTTCTTCCATCCACTGGCTCACATCCTAACTGGCCTCAAAGGCTGGGCTGGGTCCAGTTCAAAGCCAGGATCCCAGGACTTCATCCCACTCTCCCATGTGAGTGGGAGAGGCAAAGAACTTAGACCATCCTCCACTGCCTTCCCAGGCAAATCAACAGGGAGCTGGATCAGAACTAGAGTACTAGGGAATCCAATAGTGGTTCTGCTATGACTTGCTGGAGTTGCAAGCTGCAGATTAACTTTTTGATATAGAATGTGTGCTCTCTTTTGTTTAAATTTTGAAGTTGAACGTTGACATACTGAGAACAGTAGTGGGTATTTCAAGTATTTGGGGCCTGAAGTAGCATTTGGGAGATCTGTTTTCTCTTTCCCTCTTTCTGTAGCTCTGTGTCTGCCTTTAAAATAAATAAAAATTTCATTTTAAAGGTAAAGCTATGGGATGTGCATTTGTTGTAGCAGATATGATATTTCTTGGGATG